GTGAAATAGCTCACGTTTTTATACACGCAAACCTTTGATAGATCCGGCCCTAAGTCTCTTATGGTGACAAACACCAAAACTTGAAGATCTGAGATAAATCCCCACATTTTATTACTTCCAGATTGTTCCCTGAGTCAGTTGGATAGAGAGGTCACTGTCTCAGAAAAGAAATCCTGTAGTTTGCTTAACCTCTAAACTATGGCCACAATTAGTATTAAAGATGATTATTTGGCAAGAAAGAGAGTGGAGGATGACTCATATGAAACTGTATGAATGAGGAGGAAAGGGGAGGTTCCTAAATTGATTCCCCTTTCCCTTGACTTCCTCTCTCTATGGTGACCTACTTATTGTTCAGACATGCCTGCAACACGAGATACAAAACAAATGAGTTTGGTCATGAGCAAGTAAAGAAGGGTGTTGGTCTAGAAATTCTTGAGGATTGTGACAAATTGCCTTTCCAGATGTAAAACAAAGCAGCTTTTTATTCTTTTTTTTTAAGATAAACTAGCTGCTGAAATAAAGAGGAAAGTCACTGTTTATTAGTTAAGACATTAAGCAGCAAAATAAGAAGCTGATTTTGTTCTGTAAGAGCTAAAAAAAATTTTTTTTAAATGTTTAAGGTCTGCAATTTTAATTTTTAGGTTTTAAACAACACAAAACAAGAAAAGTGCTGTGCCACACAACTAGAAATGCGCAGGTTACACTTTAGTAGTCAAAGCCATCTCTACAGTGTAATGTTCACAAGTATTCCTGTCAGCATTACTACAATAACAGAAAGACACTGAGGCTTACAAAAGGCTGCCAACATTGGTAAATCCAACATGTTATATGACAGAAGTCGAAAGTTCAAGGAGGATAAAATACAGCAACACTGCTGTACTCTGAACAGTAGTCCTGTTATCTATTGAAATTATCACTTTTAAATAGACTGAACAAGCCACAAATGTCTCCATGTGTCAAAGAAAATACAGATTCCTTTTATTAGCATTTTATATGTTCCCCATACCAAGATGCATCAATTATACAAAACTAGCTTAGCTTGAGTATACATCACTCAGCAGCACCCAGGTTGGCGAGAACTGATTATACCAAGATAGTATGATCTCTATTCAGAAAAAAATAGTGTCTAACCAAACAGCCTGTAGTTAAGCTGTAGCAGACTTCAGTGAGTCGGGTTTTTGTATATGATCATGACTTTCCTAATATAAACTGTACTAAAAGACTGTTTTAATCTCGTAACAAGCATGTGGTGTGTAACAAACCAGGTACATCTATTCCACCTTGAAAAGAAAAACACCAAAAGGGCTCCAGCTAATATGGACCATACAACTTCATGAAACAAATATATACTTGCTACTAACTTAGATTTGGCTCTAAATCAAACTGGTCAACATTAAGAAAGCAGTCTGTCTCATTTTAACTTTGTACTTCGGAGGATGTCTTTTCTGAAAAATAGCAACCTAAACTAAGAAGAGAATAACATCTAGTTTAAATTGGGTGGATTTTCTTGACAACGTACTGCACTTGAAAAAAATAAAAAATTTAGGGAAAAAAAATCCAAACCCCTCTGAGAAAGTTAAAAGGGTGGGAAGTGGACTGATGGTTTACAAGCAGGACTTGGCAGGTCAGCCTGCTGTGCTAAACACAGGAGATTCCTCAAGAAGGAATGTGACCCGTTTTGCATTAACACAAGCATTAGCAAAAGGAATGTACTGAGCATGCGTGAGATTTGGTCTGTGAGGGGGGGAGGGGCCCGTGCCTCTAATCTTAACATTGTTCTGAAACCAGCATGCATGTGAGACTGGGGTTCTACCATTGCTGTGTGAGGGCCAACTGCTGTCATGACAGGGAAAAGCTCAACAGTAAAACCAAATGTTCATGTGGTGAATGAGGTCAAAGTTTGGACTCTACAGTCCTTTGGAAAGACAGCAGAGCTACAATTATACTAAATTATTTTTAAATCTAAAGTGGGGTTAAAAGAGATCATGAAGAATCTAGGTCAAAGGTAAAATTTGTAAAACAGTTTCTTTTTGTGGCATATTGAGTTTCAGAAAGGCAAAGTTAAAATAACTTAAAAAAATGTTATTTTGTATCTTAAAAGGTGAAAACTAACCATCCTATTTACTTTCTCAATTGCTATCCCTTAAATTTTAGCTATCCCAAATTGATCCGAATGTTTTTATGTGGAGGTTTCTGTAAAAGAAAAAAAAAAGCATGACATTGAAGTTTAAAGTAGTTTAGCATTTCTGGGGTTTGTCTGTTTAACAAAACCAACCGTTTACATAATGTGTTATTCAAATGTAGAGACTTTTGTTTTAGACAATAACCCAATCCTTTCAGCAATGATAACCTAGACAGAATCCGGACAAGGAAGTTTTAACCATGCTTGGGTAAGCAGCGCAATCTACAAACATCTCAGAGGAAATGACGGTAATTCCTATCTGTTTTATCAAAAACAAAACTATGGAGACTGGGGCTCAGGTATGAAAGTGCAAGGAAACTATTTAGGCTCTAATGTATCCTCAAGAGAGGAAAGTAGAGAGCAAATTTGACACTTGAGCATTTCATGATACACTGGGCAAGAAAACCCCAAAGCATTATCTTGGAGCAAGTGTGAAAGTTGATCTCAAAACCCAAATGTCTCTGTTGTATTCATGGCTGCCAAATGGAAAAGCTGTAAAAACCTGTTAGGATGTGTACAACGACCCAACCTTCATGCAAGCCTAAGGAGATCAACAGCATGCTAGCAGCAGCTGACGTCAGACAGGTATGGTATTAATTCTACTACCGATACTAGTCATAGGACATATATGCTTTCTATAGGTGGGTTGGACTGAGGCCCGACCTAAAGGGGAACCGCACCAGATTCTATATGTTTTGAAACCATCTAGTCGTTTGGTAAAAACCAAGGTTTCCTTTAGCTTATTTACACCTGCCCCAAATTTCCAGACAAAGACCTTTAAACAAACTCTGGTCTGTTTAAAGTTGACCATATAAAGCAAATTGAAATACAGCCTTAAATATAAGTTTATCCACGAAAGTTAGTGCCGTTTAGTGCCAACATGTGACTCTTGACATTTTCCACCTAAAGGTTAACTAGCTACAACACTTTAAATTTCCTGCTTTCAATTCCTCCAAGAGGGTTTTTTTTGTCCAAACATAATAATCCTTTTTCTATACTTATATACTTAAGAAAAACAAATAAAATACCATAATTGAAGGAACAAATACAGTCACTTTAATACTCTCAATCATAAATCTGCACTTATAAGAAATTTTCTAAGGAATGAAATTAATGTACAAATCTTTTATAACACCTTCAGAAGCCATTCAATAAAAGCCTCATTGAGTCCTAGCTGTGGGTTAGCACAGTCTGTAGGAATCCCCCTTGAAGCTGAATCTGTTATAACTCTAATAATGTTAAATCATTTTTATCTCATATATTGACAATATCACTATTGCAACATCAATTCTATCTTTTTCCAAGTCTCATAAATAAATACACGTTAATGACATCAAGTCATTTATTCTCTTGTAGCCACTCTCATCCAATACATAGCAATGCTGAAGACAAAGAAGTTTGCAGACAGTGTTGGGAAAAACTTAAGAGAATGAAAAAGAGAGTTGTGCAGAAAATTTATATTTAAAACATCTGACCAATTGTGTCATCACTTTTTGAAAACACAACCCCATTACTTTCTAATACTGAAAAATGCTAGAACCCACTTTTGTTTATCCTTTCCCACCATAATGCTTTAAGGCAAAGAGGGAAAACTGAGGATGAACAACAATAAATTCTAGTTCTAGATAACACAAAGTCAGAACAAAGAAGACTGAAGGTGCCATTTCACAGAAAAAAAACAAATACTTTGAATTACTTTTAGGTCCACAGCTCCAAAATAAACAATGCATTAATTGAAATTTTGAATGAGAGCGATAAACTGTTGCTTACCTGCAACTCACACCACGCCACCTCCACTGTGGAGTCAGTGTCCAAGCCTTTGTAAACAGTCTTGAAAGAGCCATGTCCGATTTCTATATCAAACTTGAGGAATCTTCCATCTGGTGATGTTCCTACTGCTTTGGTTTCTGCCTCCTCGATGTCATCCTGAACTCTTTTCTCAGCTTCCCTTTGCTCTGCCTCAGCTCGTGCTTTGGCAGAGTCCTTATCTTCCTCCTCCCCATCATTCTCACGAGAATCCTTCGCCTCATTGACACTCTCAGGTTCTTGGTGACTTGGCAAAAGTGGTGCAGTGCAAGCTCCTACCAACATGTCTCCATCTCTAACGTCTTGTACAACAGCCGACTGCTGAGACGAAGACAAAACATCTACTTTGGCAATTTCACCATCTTTTCCTTCTTGTTTTTCTCCACCAGCATCGGCAGACTTCTCACTTTGCTTGTTCCTGGGTTCAACCTGCAGTGCAGGAGAGGCGGCAGCCTTGTGCTGTTGTGGATGGACCTGTGGAGGTAATGGAATGGGGATTTTGCTGGGTAAAGGAAGGGCGAGAGCTGTGGCATTAGAATCACTGATGACACTTCGTCGTAAAAAACGGTGCTCAGGGTTACACCGGTCGCGCTCCATGGTGTGATGTCGGCGTCTCACTTCCACCGGACGGGAGTCACCCATCAATGAATCTGAACCAGAACTGGGGCCATTTCCACTTCTCTGCGGGGGGGCTAGGAACTTCACCATTTTGTCGTCTGGCTTTTCCGACATCCCACCGCCTGGGCTTAGAGTTAGGTGGTACACTAAATAAAAATTAAAATAAGATTACTTCCATGACTGCCATATAGGCTTAGTTAGGTGGTATTGACCTGTGCTCCAAAACAAAAAGGCTAAAGTGAGATCTATCTTGTGCTGTCCCTTTGATTGCTCAAAGACTATTTTCATATATATAGTGGAGGGAGTGGGAGAGTAGAAGGGGAGGGGTTCTCTTGTAAATGGAAAAGGACTCAACACCGCAGCAGAACGCAGGGTACTGATTTTTAAACACAAGTCTGTTTAGGTCCACACCATCCATCCTGTCAGACACCAGCTTCTTTCAAGCATAAGGAACAACTGGTAAGGACCATGCGTGCACAGCCTCCAACAGGCACCAATCACCCTGAGGTGGGCAAAAGCAGGGTGGGAAAAATGTGTGAATGCACTCCAGTCCAGTTTGACCTGAAACAGAGAATCCACACAAAAGGCTTAGTTTTAACATGTGTAAAAGAGAATTGTAGCAACTAGCAAAACTACTAGCAGAATTTTTAGTAAACATAACCCTGAAGGAGTTTTATTTTGGTTTCACTTATTTTCCTACTTATTTGGTTAGTTATTAATCTGGTTCAGGATATAAAAGGTGGCTTTAATGTGGTGAAACCTGCTGGGAGTTTTCTAGAGAAAAAGTCATAACTGTGAAGTCAAACAATTGGTATATAATACTGACCAGGCAACAAAATAATGTTAAGCAGCAAAATTCATTAATTACCACATAGATGAGAGTAAACCCATAGTTTGTCACACAACAAGTAACACAGTACAGTTGGGATACCTATTTTCTTTTCTTTTTTTTCCCCGAATCTGTTAATTATATCTAAATGACCCGTTTCTTTAGATTAGATGTTCCTTTAGATTATATTTTTGTATAACTAGAAATTTCCATATTGACGGTACATTTTCTATGTTCTGAGCCGTCTATGAGCTGTCAAATTACAACAATCATTCCTTCTGGTATTAGAGAGTGAAGTTACACCGAGCATGAAGTTACACCGGGCATGTGGGGCAAAATGTCATTTTGCCCCACATGCTCCTGCAACAGGGCAACTTGCAATTTAATAAATTCCTCAAAAAATGCAAATTATCAACTTATTTTATTCATGTTAAACTGAATAAAGCACCAAAGACGACCCCACCCCATATTATTAAAGCTAAGGAAGACTAGAATTTTGAGTCGTGTCCAACTTTTAGAGATGATTTTTTTTGGCACACAGCATTACAAACCATAGTCATTGTTTATGTTAGGAAAAACTTTAAGGTTGTTTAAATTTTTGAAAAGATGCATTAATTGTCCAGCCCTAAAACATTATGTATGCAATTGCAATTACCTTACCTGTTTTGTTTTTATTAAATTACTAATATTAGAATGATATCAGAAATGTAATGCTTGCCACAAATGGTTGTCAAATATAATTTAATCTATTACCTTTACTGCAACTTAGACTTAGACACATTTTATTGTCATTTTGTATACACAGAAGTGTATACAAAAAGAGATATAGCTTTGTACAGATTTCAGAACATTTCCATTTCTTAAAGTGCAGCAGTGATCAAATGTAAACAGCGTGGGAGAAAAAATAACATGGTGCAAAAAATGCATTGATATGGAAGTTTAAAGCATTAAATATGTACGGTGCACTCTGGTAGCCAAAATACAATTTATGACGAAGTTTGTGTTTTGGTGGGCCTAGTTTCAACAACAAACATAGCAGCGTTGGATGATGCCTTTCTAATGAAAGCCAAAAGACACTGAATCGGCCAAAGCAAAAGTCTTCATCAAAACTCTGATCATTTGCAGCTGACCACTCAGCAAATTCCCAAACACCAGCAAAACCAAGCATAGCAAATAAAAACTATTTCTTTCATTAAAAGATATTTACACCCCAATAAAAGTCAGTTTCTGGAATATATCCAACCAATAGCTTATTAATTAGCTAAAAGCTGCTTCTACTCTGTGTATTAAGGGCTGGTTATACTCCAACAGCAGTGTGTCGCAGTGAGCTTTGGCACATATATTTTTGATTTATGCCCAATTTTGAATCGTGGTCTGCGCTATGTTATTCCACGCCACATCCCAAGAGGGAGAATCATGAAGTAGCTGTGGGTCTAGATACGGCCGAGGCGGTGGGGGCAAGTTTGTACGAAAAAGGAGGGACATGAGAGTGAAAAACAGCAGGGATCCAGGTGGAAAATGGGTCCCAGCGTTCTCGCACAGCTCGCTCTTCTAGCTGGTCCAACTTCACCAGTCGTTTTCCACAATGGCGATCATACAAACAAAACAAGCCGGTATGGTACCAAACAGGAAATACGCATAATGTAGAGCGGATGTAGATTTGACCAATCAGAGGCATTGCTGTCACCTACAATTTTGGAGAGGTGCAACAAAGTGTCTGCGGAAAGGGCGGGGGACATTTGCGTTTAATGTGACACACACGCAGACAACCTGGTTTCTGAGTATAATTCAGCCTTTATGATACTACAACACACCCATATTTGGAATCTGTTATCCTACATAAATCCCGAAAGCCTCTGCTACTTCGAGCTTGTGATGCACTGGAGCTTCTTAAAATCGATTCTAAAATTGGTGCATATCATTGGATTCTTTAGAACCAAAGCTTTCCAATGAGTTATAAAGCACCCTAATAGGACAAACGGTTATTTAGATTCGCATGTGTCCTCATGTATTTTTTTCTAACTTAGCTTTGTGTGTATATTGTGTAATCAAAGTGTGTATATAGACCTTGCTGAAAAAATAAAACTTCTGATTTTGGGGGGAAAAACTCTATTTTTATAATAGCATTCCAATTTTTTAATTTCAATAATACATTCGAAATTCCTGCATTTGTGCCAAAATGGCACAGAATATGTTCGCCTGGATTTTTTTTCAATCAAAAGATCTATAACTTTTCAGTTTCCTGTTTCATGGACACCAAACTTGCTAGGTAACAACAATGCTGTAGTTACAATTTATAATATTTATTTCCTTTGCTACAGGAAAAGTGAGAAATTGTGTATGTAAACATCTGTTTGTTTTTTTTGGCAATTTAAATCAAAATGTTCACATCCACTGCATGACCTTTATGTTGCTTGATAACAATATTAGCAGTTAATATCCCGCTTTCACACCAATGCTGTATTCCATCCTTTTTATAATTCAATTTATTGTGTATAAATAAAGTACTTTATATCCAAGTATTCATTACATACACATTTACTTTTTTGCACTTTTGTTTTGAAACATTCCAATAATAATAATAAAACCCAAACTGTATTTGCAAAACTATTTGAAGCACGTGGGAAAAACAACAGTTGACTATATATATATATATATATATATATATATATATATATATATATATAAATACATAAAAGAAACATAACTAGTATTACTTCCCTCTGGAAATGAAAAGCATGTCTCTCACCGTTCAGAGACCTTAAGTGGCTGGCAGAACACAGCCGACAGGTAATAATTACTGCAATCACTAAAAGTATAAAATAATACATTGCTTGTGCTTTGGGTGGTGGTTAGTCGGCGTATCAAAGGGTTGCTGGTATAAAGGAAAACGTCTATCTAAATAACAATATAAATTGTTTCAGCATAAAACCCGTTTCAGTCAATATTTCCGTAACAGCAGAAACATTTTCGCATCACGTCATATGATACGGTTGTGCAAACCTGCAATGACATTGTTGTTACATATTAATCACCTTTTTCCTGCCTCCGCTGTAGCTAGTATTGCCAACGTAGGCAACTAGAATGACAGAAACCGGATAAATGTTAGCCGCGGCTCAAAAAAATATATATTTTTAAAATAAACGACACAGACGTAATAATTAATATTGGATTATAACTTATCTAAATCGTTCAATACATACCTATTTTTAGGGCTGTATAAATGACACCATTACCGTCTGAAATGGCTACATCGGATCAACATTACAAAGCGAAGGGAAGCAACGGCTCTTTGTTAGCAGCTAGCACAGAGCTAGTTAGCTGCCGTCGGCTAATCCCTTAACAGGGAAACGACTGCCCCAACGATGACTAATTTGCGCGTTGCGTTTTTTTTTTTTTTTTTTTTTTGCATTTCTGTTCAACATTAAAAAAAGCCACGTGTCTATCTTCAAAATTGACTCTATTCAAAGCCTTTTTCTCAAAAAGAACAAGTCACAAGTTTACCGTATCGAGGTCCTGTTTCCATCCCGGAGTGATTAACGCCACACCGGATACATTCAGCCGGTGTGAACGTCGGTTGAAAAGGCGGTGACGAATAGCGCCGCTGCTACGAACGTTAGCTAGGCGGGTCTTGCTAATGGCCTAAAAAAAGGCAGACCCACCTTCCTGGCAGCCCTTCATTCATTTCAATTTTAAGACAAGCTTTAACAAAGATATCGCTAGACTGTATTTATAGATGATAACGTTACGATGACATAAACCCTGCTTGTTGGTCTGACAGCAAAGCTAATGTTTTGAAATCTACCTTCGCAGCTCAAGTCAACTAGAGGCTGTAAAATGGAAATTTCCGTTAAAAAAGCGTCTTGTTTTTTTCGGTCCGTACAAAAGTCACTCACCAAGATCAAATGAAACGCAGATGTTAATCCAAAATAATACCAAGATCGGTTTTGTTTTGGTTCCTTTACATCCAAGTTAGTGGAGGAAGAACGTTGTTACTGACTGCGCATTTGCAAACCGTGGACTAGACCACGTTCATTGCTGCATTCACAGTTCTCAGCATGCTGTTTGACTGACTGAAAAAACTAATGTTTGTCTGGGAAAAAAAGACTGTAATGGTAAATGGCTATTTGGTTTTTCATTGTTTGATAGTTTCCTTCTGGCTTGTTTTAATAGGTGTAAAAGTCAACATTAATTACACTATTATTTGTATTTACCTGTATTTAGATTAATCTATAATCTGCCTAAAAATAAAAATTGGTTTAAACCTAATTTAAAATTGAGAATAAATATAAATCCACAAAGAGAAATGCAAAAAATATCATATTATATTTAATTATATTATATCATATTACAATAAAATTTTAAATGTTATTATTATAACCAATGTTATTATTATTATTATCATTATTATTATTATTATTATTATTATTATTATTATTATTATTATGATTATTATTATATTAAAACCGTTATTTTTTTCTATACTGAAAAAAAAATTCCAGGGACCACAAATTTAAGGCAATACGCAGGAAAGAGCGCCCCCTGCAGTCAACGGTATGTGATGGACCCTGTCTATGTGGGGTAAAAACTATATATATATATATATATATATATATATATATATATATATATAAGGAAGCCTATTTTATATGGATGAGCTAGTCAGAAAAAGTTATTATTCATAAAAGGATACTTAAATGTTGTTGGAAGGGGTTTCTTGGGGTTTTTTTGGGTTGCTGATGTATGTCGGCAGAAAGGATCTCATGTAATGGTCTATCTCAATGCGGGTTTGGAGGAGCCTTTAACTAACACTCTGTTCTTAAATTTGCAGGATGATGAAGAGGATGCTTGGGATTATAAATAATATTCTTCATTCTATGATGAATTCTTCTTTGTGCAGAGATGAAATCCTTTCCAGAGGTTCTACCTGAGTTCCCAGATCAGAGCTTACTTTGTAGTCTTTGATCCAGGCAACTGTTGAAGCCTCCACCCAAGACTTCTGGACTTTCTGACAAAGTAAATCACGTTATTTTAAGTTAACATATAAGGCCATTTTTACGATACACTGCCTGGTTAAAAAAAAGACTGCCACCAGAAAAAAAAGGTCATACATTCTATATCGATGGACCATCATGAGCTCGGATTACAGCATACATTCGCTGTGGAATTGTGTCTTTAGCCTACCACAGTGTCCAGTGCAATAATTTTATACTAAGATGTCTTACCCACGATGACCAACTATAAAAAGTATTCTCTAGTACATCCCCAATATTTTCAAAAGGTTAATGTCAGGACTCTGTTGTTGCCATTCCATGTGTGAAAATTGTCTTATCCTCCCTGAAGCACTTTTTCAATAAACTGGTCATTCAGTATGTCCAGATAGTTAAGTGACCTTATTAATTGGGCACAGAATGTTGCAGAACCTAAACCTGACCAACTACAGCAAGCTCAGGTCACAGCTCTGCCCTACAGGCTTGTACAGTAGACACAAGATGTGATGAGTGCTTCACTTTGCCTGCCTCTTTTCTTAACCTGATGTGTTCATCACTCTAGAACAGGGTGGACTGGACTCATTAGACCACATGACCTTCCAGTCCTCCCGACTCCAATCTTTATGCTCCTTAGTAAACTATAGCCTTTTTTTTTTGTTTGTTTGTTTTTTTTAGGTACGCAGCTGTTCAGTGCCAATGCAAAGAGTTACCTTTGTATTGTGTTTGTGAATATTCTTACTTTCACAATCAAATATACCCCTGAGTTCTGTTCTTGATTCTCAATTTAATTTTTAAAAATGTTTTAATGATTACCAATCACAATCAGTCAAGATGTTTTCCTGACCACATTTATTCTTCAAAAACGATCATACCCCCATTACCTGCTCCAGTTTGTCAAAATACATCTGACAGTTGTCACCCAAATTTTCTGCAATCTCATAATAGATATATTCTCTGCTTGATGCATACCAATAATCTGATCCTTCTTAAATGACTTACACATTTGATATGGCTGTTTAAGAAGCTTCTCACTCATAGCATCAGCTGGGGTAAAATAACTTTTTGCCACCTGAAGAATGATCGATCATGCAGTGATTATACACTGTGGCTTATTTGAATTTAATCTAAACTGTAGAAGAGATGATATTATAGGCTGATCCATCTTGGATGTAATGTCCCTAAAAGAGATCAGAATGAGGCTCAGTATTGTGTGTGGCCTCCATGTGCCTCTATGACATCCCTACAACCCATCGGAATGCTCCTGATGAGGTGGTGGATGGTCTCCTGAGGGATCTCCTCCCACACCTGGACTAAACCATCTACCGGTAAACCGTTGTCCAACGTGACACTGGTGGATGGATCAAGGCATGACGTCCCAGATGTACTCAATCAGGAAACAGGAGGGCCAATCCATAGCTTCAGTGCCTTCATGTTGCAGGAGCTGCTGACACACTCCAGCCGCATGAAGTATAGCATTGGCCTGCATTAGGAGGAACCCAGGGCCAATCTGCACCATCATACGGTCTCACAAGGATCTGATCTTGGTTCCCTAATGGCAGACATGCTACCTCTGGTGAGCACATGGAGGGCTGTGTTGCCCTCCAAAGAAATGACCCCCTCAAATGTAAGGATGTTGCAGGCAGCAGGTTGCTCTCCACGGTGCCTCCAGACTCTGTCACATCTGCTCAGCTGCATGAAATTTCTATTCAAATAGGTTGAATTAAAATTCTATGTCTTATTAGGTCAATATGCAATCAGAATTTATGAATGTTACATATTTTTGAATTTAAAGGAATAGTACACCCAAAACATGATTAGCCTTCATTTTCTACTCACCCCCATGCTGAACAACACTCTGGAGTACTTTTTTGATATCTCAAATGCATCTGGAGATCTGGGAGGCTTCTTGCTGTCTGCTGACATTCAAATAATGGAGGTCTATGGCGCCCGAGACAGAAAGGTCCATAAAAGTCCACAAAAAATGTGTCAATAGTCCTCCATACTGCTCGCCCAATGTATTCCAAGTGTCCTGAGTGGGTAGCATCCAGAATTTACTCGAAACTAAGTCATTTAGAATGTTTTTAGAGCATAAACAGTAGTGTATAGGATTTCCTGAAAGCGCGCACCTGCGTGTTCACGACGCTACGGAAGCCGGCAGACCAAACCAGATGAAAGTGCGCATTCAGCGTCTGCTCTGCCAATAATGCAAGCGTAGAAGAAGAAATGTGCTGTTTACCTGTGCAAAGAAAGAAACAACGAAAGAAAAATGTCTGAGGACTTCAGTGTTGAGGAAGAGCATGAGTTCTTTGCTGAGCTGAATGCGCACTTTCGTCTGGTTTGGTCTGCCGCGGTTTCCGTAGCGCCGTGAACGCGCTTTCAGGAAATCCTATACACTACTGTTTATGCTCTAAAAACATTCTAAATGACTTCGTTTCGAGTAAATTCTGGATGCTACCCACTCAGGACACTTGGAATACATTGGACGAGCAGTATGGAGGAATATTGAAACGTTTTTTGTGGATTTTTATGGACCTTTCTGCCTCGGGCGCCATGGACCTCCATTATTTGAATGTCAGCAGACAGCAAGAAGCCTCCCAGATCTCCAGATGCATTTGAGATATCAAAAAAGTACTCCAGAGTGTTGTTCAGCATGGGGGTGAGTAGAAAATGAAGGGTAATCATGTTTTGGGTGTACTATTCCTTTAAGTTAAAATAACCTTTTTTTTTTTTATCAGAATTAGAACTTAAGAAAAACTAATAAATTCAGCTGTAAAAATTAGAGTATTTTTTTTATTTGTTTTGAAAAAAACATTTAGCAGATGAAAACTGGGATCCTATCTCATTACCACTGAAGCGATCACCTTATTTTTAAATAATTAGTAAAACAAAATTTGTAAAGAAAAAAAATTAAATAGATCCAAAGGACCTACCAGTAAACATGTCTGTTCCAGCATATAGGATCATTAAAACTTATTTTAGTATTATGCCTTTGGTACAAGGGCCAGGACATGATTTATAGGGGTACTGGCCCCCGTTGGTCCCTGTCTAGAACCGCCCCTGGTTTTATGTACCAACAGGCGATAACGAAAATTAGTTAAAATAAAAACAAAATGACTGAGTCTATTTTCTAAAATGCAAGAAGTAGAAAGTAGATATAATTGCACAAAAAATGAAAGGGTTAGAAATAAAAAGTTGTTAAAAAATAATCACTCCAGTATATGTAGCCAAAATTTCTGCTTAAGTAAGGTAGTGAAGTATTTGTACTTTGTTACTTGACACCTTTTCTACTGGTGTACTGGCCTGTCTCCTATTGCTACCGGTAGAGTTTCTGGACATTACACTGAGAGACACAGCAAACCTTCCTGCCACAGCTCACATTGATTTGCTATACTGGATGAGCTGCACTACCTGAGCCACCTGTTTGGGTTGCAGAGTCTGTCTCATTCTTCCACGAGTGTGAAAAAAACACCAACATTCAAAAGTGATCATAAAATCAGCCAAAAAGCATAGGTACTGAGAGGTGGCCTGTTGATTGTCAATCATTTCCACCTGTTGTCTACACCGTTTGTACAACGGCGTGTGAAATTGATTGACAATCAGTGTTGCTTCCTATGTGGACAGTTTGATTTCACAGAAGTTTGAATGAATTGAAGTTGCATTGTGTTGTTTACGTGTTCCCTTTATTTTTCTGAGCAGTGTATATGAATATCTTTTTAAGGTAACTTTGGAGGGACATTGGTATCTTTGGGTACATCCATCCATTTTCTGTCACGCTTATCCCTGCTGAGGTCACAAGGGGTGCTGGTGCCTTTCCCCAGCTGTCAATGGGTGAGAAGAGTACACCCTGGACAGGTCGCGAGTCTATCACAAGGAAACACGGAGATAAACAGAGATAAAATAGGACAACCATTCACTCACACGCACCAATATCCAGAGAGAAGCCCCGTAATATCACGCACAGGGAGAACATGAAAATTCCGGGAATTCAGACCGGAACCTTCTTGCTGCAAGGCAGCTACCCACCGGACCATTATACAGCGTGCATCTTTACGTACATTGATACCCATAGATATCCTTTATTATGGATATCTATGTTGATACCAATGTGAGTGCTGCCCCCTGGTGGCAAAGGTCTATCTGCTTTTGATAATTTGTGGTGGGAGGTATACAAAATAGGGAAGTAATGAAAACTGACATATTAAGTTATTAAATAACGCTTTAAATAGATGGATCTCTAAATTATCACTCAATAAAAAATAAAATATATGTTATGACCATGAATAATTTCGACAGTACTTATTTAATTACTTCTATAATTGCTATGCCACTGTCTGCCTTGAAGGGATGAATTAAAGATTAAAATAAAAATGGATAAGTAATAGGCTTCTTTTAGTAATAGAAAAATCTACATCCAAATTATATCCAACAAATAATTTAACACATTATATAATTGTTTGCAATTTTACTTATTACATTATCAAATGATAACCCAATTTTATTTATTCAATTATTTATTTACTTATAGAATTAGTATAATTTAAAGATGGTATTAGTGAGGAGGCTAACACTGCAACAATGATCAGTCTCCAGTATATATAGTGATATACATTACTTATCAAATGCTAGTAGTTCACTTGGTAAGCAGCAATTACATAAAGGTTTTAATTGTAGACTTTAATACTGTTTATAGAGTAATTAAAATATTCAACTTGAAAATTGTTGTGAAATATAGTTAGTCAGTATGCAAGGGGAGAGGTTTGTAGAGGGCCCAAATGCAGACACAGAGGCTGAGGTGGTTTCTTGCAGATTTAATAACTGGACTTGTGACAACAGAAACATACATCCAAAAATAACTGACCAGGGAACACAGGAACCACAAGAGAAAGAATGAAGAGAATCCAGGAGTGAGTAACTGCTGTACGCAGAGGAGGAGTATATATGCCAAACAGAACAATGTATGGAGTAATTAACTGATTGAGAGCAATATCTAGAAATATCTAGAAGGGAGCTAGGGGAAAGTACAGTGGCACAAGAGCACGACAAAGAGTACACACATTCCGTTTACCCCTGTGTCTAAACACATGCTCATACTAAGATTGAGACTGATGCCTTTCTGACAATGTTTGATGCATATCAATATTTTACATCTTTCAGGTTTTATCTGAATTGGAAGATCATTTTATATGAACAAATATTGGGAAAATCTTGACCAGTTAATTTCTAGTGTCTCCTTTGAATGTAACAGCCAAGATGTGCAGAAAACAATTTACAGAATGTTAGTGGTCATATGGATAGAGAGTAACAGATCTGCTGACATGTGTAGCCTGTACGCAGTCAACGATACTTTAGCTCAGGTGCGTGCAAATAAACACAGATGCACCACACACACATAAGCACATTTTCAGAATAATCCACTTAGGAAATCAAAACACAGCAATTATTAACACCTACCCAAAAGAAATCCCACAAAAACCCAAACAAAACTCCAAGAGCTACTAAAAGCCCTACAAAAGAAAGAATTATATTAGTGTCACAAAATTATCATACAAATGAAAGAGAAATTACATTTTGGCTTAAAACCAAGGCCAGATAAATCACAATGTGGGTGGATAAACTTACATATAGCAAAACTACACTTAAAAGTGTACAACTAACATTAAGATGGACATTAAGATATGATAAAATCAAGTATAACACCAAGAAATGAGAATAAATGCAAATTGAAACCAAAGTTTCACCGGATATAAACACCACAGTTGAGAAAGTACCAGGTGTTGAAATTAAAGAGAGAAGAATCCATTCCATCTTCTGACTCAACTGTGTTGTTTCTGAAAAAAATACTGGTGTAAAAATCCAGCAAGATTGCACTGAGCTGCCTTTCTGATGCTAGATGGAGTAACACTAAGGGAGAAAATGGACGTCCACATGACCCTGCATATGTTCCAATCCCCACAGAAGTCCGGATTCACACCAGGGTTACCGTTCATTTCACTATTAGGAATTGTACAACACTATGTGTTGTACAAAGCAATCATGTTTTTATGGTTTTTCCTGATGTGTCTATCTTGTCATGAGTTTTATTATTTCAATTTATTTTTTTTTACTTGTTATCTTCCAGTACCTATTTAAGTTTCTTTTAAATAGTAGTACCGGTAAGTAAATTCAGACTGTCAATACGGGAAATTCTTGAAATTGAAAGTTGGAATCTGTTAAAGAGACATTGGAGAAAATACCATAGGAAAATGCCTCTTACGCTTCTGGTGTAAAACTGAGGAAAAGAATAGGTTTACTGAAACTGTGAATTGCTTTCACCAGTATCTCTGTTTATCTTACCCAGTACTCGCTAGCATCCATAGGCAGTTCTAGAGAGGGGTCTGTAGAACTGGTTCTGGTCCCTTTTAGCTCCCCTGTAAAGAAGACACGAAACTGAAAAAATAAAATAAATAGAATAAAATAAAAAGTTGTTAAGCGGTGTAGCAGGCATACGGGCTGATAGGTCCCTTGGACCCATTTCACTTTTTTTACAGTTCTGTTTTAATTATGATTTGAAAATTAAAGCGATGGCTTCAGTCATATTGAGATAGAATTACAATTTTTATCCTTTAATTGCTATTTTAAACCAAATTTAAAAATTAAGCTAATTTGTTATAGCTAAATTGATCAGTTTTACTTTATTTCTAATTCTGATTTAATCAAAAATGATAATTTTCATAAAAAGAAAATGCATTAATTATTGCTAAATTAAGTATTATGACATAATACTACAAATAATAGCTTCATTTGACCCTTTAAAAGATGTTTACTTAGCCATTAATTACTTCAATATTTTTTCCACTGTACATGATTTATAATTTGAAAGACATTTAAATTCAAATGTTCAAAACAAAAATACAAATTTTCAATTGGAACAACATATAATTTTGATAATTCACTTTTTATTGGTTTTTACACAAATAAATGAAACAAAGACAAACAAGTGAACAGGGGAGACTACAGGTAGATATTGACTAACAACGCTGTACATTATACAGCATGAAAAAAAAAAAAATTATATATATATATATATATATTTGACTATAACTATACATATTTGTACCTCAGTGAATGTTAAATATTCTAATAAACGAAAAGAGAGAAGTAAAGAAAAAAACAAAAGAACAGCATATAATTTTGATGAAACTAAATAAGTTGGAGTTTCACTTCTTTCAACACGAAGCCACAGGTACCTTTTTAGTTCTGCAGCCCTCTTAGTACACTACAAAAAATTTAAATTTAAGTAAGTCAATTTCTCTTAAAATAAGTGCATTTTTGCTTTTTAATTGAGCAGGTAAGTGAGACACTTTGCCAATGGAACAAGACAATTTACATTTGAAATAAAAACAACTGCATTCTAATTATTTTATTTAAAAATTATAATAATCATTCCATTGACAGATCATCTTATTTTACTACTTAAAATAAGGGTATTATTTTAACTCATTTAAGAACCTTTTTGCAGTAATATTTTACGTGATTAACTGGTGACCTCTGTTTTTGTTTCATACTTTTCTATGCCCCATTAAAACACGCTGGCCCCACCCTTGACCCCCGAGTAAATATGGCCTAGAACCGCCCCTGCTGGGATCCATAGCCAAGCTCCACTAAAAAAAAAAAGAAAAAAAATATATTGTTGTGTAGCACTCTTTTCACCCCAGCGTTTCTTTGCCAGTCAATTTCCAAGCGGCCTCCATCCCTCAAAATCCATTGGTGATCGTGGTCGCGCATTTAAAATTAAAGCGTGGCGAGTAAGGCTCTCGTGAACGCGCAATGGGGCCCTGACGTCACCGAGGCGCCCTGGCTCTCCTGAGCCGCTAGTACTGCTGGCGAAAAGATGGGAAAACCAGATAGCCGTTTATCGGAGAATTAAGATAAAAATGCCTGCTTTGGCCGCACATGTCCGGTTGTTAGAAGACTGAGCTGTAGCAGCGCTTTGAGCTTCACCAGACAACGAAAAAGGTACTTTGATTAAAGAGGTTTTTTTTCTTACCTTTAAGCTATTGTGTTAGCGACCAAAAAATAGACATTTAGCTTGACCATTAAATTTGGGTTAGACTAGCCTCCATATGTCACGGTGGGCTAACGGTAGGTGTGTGCGTTGAGTACTTCTGGCCTTTCCTAGGTATTTGCAGGACTCATAGCTTTGTAGACGAGCTTGTGAATGAAGAAAAGACGAAAATGAAGAGCCGTGTTCAGCCGAGGAGGAAAATGGTTTGATGGGTGTCTCCAAAGCAGACGCTGTATGCTCCGTGTCGTTGGGAATGGATTTAGCTAAAGGCTTTTTTTTAATTCTCCGTTAGTATTTGACATGTTAACATTGAAAGGCAGGGAATTGGCAAATTGAGACATACAGAAAGATTGTCTATTTGCTGAATTTAACATCTGGATTAACAATTCTTTGCAGATAAATATTTTTTTTTTTCACCATGGACAATCTCCCTTTCCCCCCTCCTTGCTCCCTTTACCCTAAACAGTCAGAACAAAATCTACAAATGTAGAGTAATTGTAAATACGTTTAACTTTGATATAAAATATTAAAATGAATTAAATATATAATCATTATGGTGTGATTAATAATGCCAAAAGGGCCAAAAAGATGTTGAACAATTAATTATAGATTAATATTTCCCTTATGGGTCTTGTTTCTTACTAAATCAGATAGTGATTTAATCCAGATTTAAATTAATATCTATTTGACCAGAGATCGAGCAACCAAAAGATACCCAAACCGTTAAGATTTAAATTGTTTTGCTTAATCAATATGTAAACCTTAAAATGACAGCCAAAGATATTTTCTTCCAGTTGTCTTTGTACAGGCGTATGGCTGGGGAGTTTAATAAAAATGATGAATACAGGCTTATAATATGAACATGTCCTTAAAGATCTATATCAGTTGTCAGCCAAAAAAAAAAAAGTTAAACCTTATCCAAGTAACCAAAAAAACATGTTTAACAAACACAACTCTTGCAATGCAGTTGCAGTACAGTAAATATAGAATCTAATTTATTGTGCAGCTTCCTGTCAAATGCTTCTGAATTATATCAATATATCTGAGGATGTATGTTTTCTCGTGTTGCCATTAATCATGGTTATCTGCAGTCATCATCATAGAAATTTTTTTTTTACTGGTGTTCCGCTGGTACCATTTGTTTTGGCCCGATACCTGGCTGTGCAGTATTGGCCAATATTGATGCCATCTGTTTGAAAATGATGTATGTGTGGTGACAATAGCTGAATAAATTTTTTGCTCTCAAAATGGTATCGGTGCCCTATTTGTTTGTACTTGCCGATACTGATACCACCATTTTAATGCTAGATAGTGGCCCCGCCCGATACTGATATCGGTATCGGTGCAACACTAATTTTTACATGCAATATTTACTTGGAATCAATTATGCTTTTACCAGTATCTTCCAAGTCTCATGCGTTCCTGCTGCATGGGTTGCATATATTTATTTGATTGGATCTACTTTTTCTGGCCTTGATGCCCAAGTCATTATGGTTCATACAAAACTGTACAAAATGATAGAATTTCATCAATCAAAAAATAAACGATTTGTCTATAAGTGACTGCTGCTGAGAATATTCTATTTTTAAGTTCTACATCCCAAACAACATTTCATTATGGGTTCACAATGTCAGTAAAGATTTATTTTAATTACAGATTACCCCAACTATTGTAATTTAATATGTATTAAGAACTTGGATTTACAATCAAATTAGTTTTGATAAGAGAAATGTGTTTCCCACCAGAAAAGCATAAACTTTTAGTTAGTTGACAAGTAGTGAACAGCAATAAATGCTACACACAGTTAGTGAAAACACTCATCACTCTGGTATTTCTCTACCATCTCATTTAAAAAAAAACTTTATGCTGTCCTAAGGGCATGCTTTAACCATTACGTGGTAGAAGAGAAGTTTGCAATTTTTACTTTGGCTTTTCTCGGTACATACAACATATACAATATTCTTATCCCTGCTGCTCATCGTAAGATTTTTTTTTTTTTTTTTTTTTTTTTATGAGACTAAAAAAAAAAAAAAAAAGTCTAAAATCTTTACCATTCACTCACCTGTAGATATGCTATAAAATGTTCATATAGAGAAAAGGAACCCAGTTAGACTTTTCCTTATAGAAACTGACCTCTGGTCCTCTTCAAGGTTTGACCTGCTGCTTCTCCTTTGAACAGTTAATCTATATATATATATTAAGGTTGTGCAATTGGATAAATCTATGGGCCATTGATGATAGAATAAGACCTGTAGAGATATTTTTATAAGAGCAATATTTTTGATATTTTTTTGTCCTACGGGTTAAGACAGCTGCAGCTTTTGCTTTCTACAGTGTGTTTATAGGTCTCTCCGTCTGTTACAGATTTGATTTTAACACAACGGATACAATATTGAACAAGGAAAAACAGGAAAAATCTCCCCTTCAGTGAAGCTGTTCTCTTTCCATAAAAAAAACTCCTTTCCAGCTTTTAGTCTGTTCGATTTTACGCATTCAGATAAATAACAATCAAAAAACTATTGTCTCGTAACGTAGTCAGAACTGGAAAAGAGGAAACTATTCCCATGCATGAAAAAAAAAATATGACAGCAGTTACTACAGTTTTACCAAAAAGAAAATGCAGTTATTTCTAGCAATTATCATGCCACATGTCCATCTTACCTTTATTAACTTAAGAAAAAAAAATTACTTACAAATATTTGAAGGGTATTTGATGTAAGCACAGACCGAATATATTTTAAGTTAGTTTTGTTTTTTTATATTTACTTTTTTTGTTTGTTTATTTATGATTTTTTTTTTTTTTACTAAAAATGCCCTCTTGTTGAGGGAGAATTTCCCAATGCTCATCCACCATATTAAACATTGCATTTCTAAGTAAAAGTAAATGTTTACAACTTTTTTAAATATGAAGTTTCAAGATGATAAATGTAATCAAGTATTCCAGGAGAGATCAGTGCCTGCTCTGTCAACATGAAGCAACCTACACACCATTTTTTCTTTTCATACCGTCTTCTTAACAGTACATATCAGTTTTATGAAAAAGTAATACTTTTTTATATGCTGTTGATCTTTAGTTTATTAAAAAATGCTTGTCTGTTTTCAGGTATTTGTAACTCTGGTCACATCATCAGTCCCTAAAAGTGGAGTGGAGGGAACCATTTTTTTAATACCATGAATCCTGTGCCCAGCATCTGCAGTTGAAGCACCATCATCAGGATCACTCCTTTGTTGCAGAGTAGCACCCCAAAGTCTGCAAGGCTTTACTTACATCTGCTCATCTGGTGACCCCTTTTCTAGTTAGCAGAATATGTATGGTAGCGCCCGCTCCGTTGGCAGGGGAGATGCCAAAAATGGGGGAGGAAGAGACGGAGGCAGCGGCGGTGGTAATCAGGGATCAGGCCGTTCCCCACGCCTCCCTCGATCTCCCCGGATGGGACACAGACGCACCAACAGCACAGGCGGTAGCGGAGGAGGCCCTGGAGGAGCAGGAGGGAAAACTCTCTCCATGGAGAACATCCAGTCCCTCAATGCTGCTTATGCCACCTCAGGACCGATGTACCTGAGCGACAATGAGGTAGCAATGGCAGGAGACCATGTATCCAAAGGTGGCATGACTGTGACCGTCACAGGACGACAGAGGGTGACATATGGATCGCGAGGTAGCAGCGGTGGGGTTGTAGCTGCTAGCACGCCCAATATCTCCACCACAGTGCCTGCTAATGCTGTGTTGCCAGCAGGCATGATGGCAGGGGACGCGCTGGCGTTTGGGGACCACCACATGGCTTCCACAGTACCCCACTCTCTAAGACAGGCCAGAGACAACACCATACTAGACCTGCAGTCCCAACTTAAAGAGGTATTTCACTTAAGAGTAAAAGAGGTCTGGATGGCCTTATGATGGAGAACATTATCACACACCCAGTTCTTATTCTGTTCCATCAGGTTCTACGCGAGAATGAGATGCTGCGGCGAGAGGTCGAAGTGAAAGAGAGCAAACTGAGTTCCTCCATGAACTCTATCAAAACCTTCTGGAGCCCAGAGCTAAAGAAAGAGCGAGCCCTAAGGAAGGACGAAGCTTCCAAGATATCTGTCTGGAAGGAGCAGTATCGCGTTATTCAGGACGAAGCACAGGTGAGCCTTTGCTCTAATCCAGTCAGATGCATCACAAGCATCGCATTTGAACGGGGGAAAAAATCACAAAACACATTTCTCTTTTTTACAGAAATGTTTTACAGCTTTCATTCTCTCCCTTTTCCTACTGTATATGTTTTAAAGCTGGTTCTGAACATCTAGTTAATCCTCTTATGTAAAGCTATATGCTTGTGCTTTGTAGATGAAAGGGATGTAAAATTTAATGGTGCATTAGCGTTTTTTTGTATGCTTTGGAAAGTGCTGCAAGTGGTGAGCATAATAAAATGTGATAGTAGGGCCTTTTTGATGGGGGATGTTGAATTTTGCACAATCTGAAAAATATTTGTCAGAAATGTGCATTGTTTGAGTTTTTTTTTTTTTTTACTTTTTCTTTGGAGTCCTAAGATATTAGGATCCTACAAAGTCTATGAACAAAAGTAGAGATGGAAGATGGGGAACAGATCTATATTGAAACCTGTCGTCATTCTGCTTTCTATAAATGGATGTTCCGCTTCAACAATATGATTCTGCTAACTCTGCATCAGTTTGTATGAGATTTTTACAGTATGTTCAGGTGTTGGTTTGTTATATTTTCACAAAAAATTACTATATATCTAAAATGCTTTTATTGCTTTAATCTGAAACAGGATGTAATAAATATATTTACTACAGCAGGAGTAGTGGAACACTTTATTAAAAAAAGAGATCAAATGTTGTTTATGACACTTTTCTGAATTTTAAACATTATCAAAGGCTAAAATCAAGAACCATCTTTATATGTTTTGTACTACTTTCCAAATTCCTATTGTCTTGAGTATTGTTTTTGTTCTGCCTAATAGTAATGGAACGGCATTAGCTGGATAATTCATTAGGATTAGACAGACATTCTGTTCTAGGTTTTACAACAGAATTTTTTCTTCTTCTTTTAAAGCAAGTTAAAATGTTCCCCTCCTCCTTTAATTCAGCAGACAACAGGTGGGGCAGTGCAGTGCTACATTATTTCGTGCTTCATACAGCAAGAGAAAGGCTGTGACGTTTTCTTTGATCTCTTTAAAGTATGTTTTTAACTAGAAACTTTTCATATCCTTAAACTAGGGCTAGAAGTTATAGAACCAACAATAGACTATAGAATTAACAATACGGTCGGTATGATTATATTTCTATATCACTAAAAAGAAAAAGAGTAAAAGCTTCAGGAAGATTGCCAACAATGCCCTCAGCAGATTCCTGTACAAACCTATCTCAATTATTGTGCCACTTTTAATAAAAATCCTCCAACCTAACATTTAAGAAATGTTGGCTTTTAAAAAACAAAAATACATTAAACTGCATAAAACCCGAAAGATCAGACAATGATGAATGCTGTTTATAGACTGTATTTCTTCTTCTTCTTATTATTATTATAAAAAAGTCATATCACCAATATTGAATTCAATTAAATCACAATGATAATACTGATATTGAAATATCACCCAGCCCTACCTTTAAGCTGTAAACTTTTTATACATAGGTTTATGTTTGACGCAGGTCTGCTGTGTGGATTTTCCTTTACTTGGTAGCAAACATAAATGCATGTAAAATGGTCATGAACTGGGTAGCAGTTATATACAGTCAAGGCCTTTTCTAAAAGCCTTTGTTGTAGCAATTGTAGAAATTAGCTTTCATTAACGAAGACAAATAGTCTTTGTTTAACTGTGATTCTTAATAGATGGGGAGGCATTCTGAGTAATTCGCTGCCTTTACCCCTGCTGACTCACAGAATCACACTCCAGACTAATTCCCAGTTACGCCCGACCAGCGCAGGGCTAATCAGTAGGAGCTTTAATTTAAAGATGTCAGCTCTGAAACGTCTGCCTCCACCTCCCACGCTGGCATGCACAGAGAAAGGGAAAGGCATGGCCACTGATTATGGCTTTGGTGAGGACTGCAGACTTTGCACTGGATGGAGGCCCAACTGAATGTGCATATTTGCAGCTTTGTGTTTGCTTGTTGTTGCAGTTATTGTCACTGCTGTAGTTTAGTACTTGATTTGATCCTAATCGTGTTTTGCTTTGCCTGTAAAATAAAAAAAAAGTAGCTTGGTGTTAAGATGAGTC